TACTAAACTACTTCGTATCAAACATGAAGACATTTCGTTTCTTTTCTCTTTATGTGTATGTGTGTGTGTGTCTGTGTGTGTATTTGTAAAAAGCAACAAATTATCATCATCATTATTATTATTTAAATTTGATTGTAATAATTTGATGAATAATTTATTTAGGTATTATAATCTGGTATTTTGGCGCAGGTGCCGTTCTGTTTTGAGGAGGGCCTCTTGTAGAACGACTGGAGTGGTACATGTAACAATTCTATTAATCTTAAATAATTTGGTTCTGAAATGAACAATATTCAACATTAGTACATGCATGACTATTATTTGTCTTAAAAATACATTCGTATACGTTTTGTGTTTTTATTAACACACTATTACGTATTGTTTTCTTTTAAAGTACAACAATATGAAATAAAAACAAATAAAAAAGGCTAAGTGTCGATAAAACAAAAGCATATTGGTATGTAAGGGGAGAGAATGTAGGGTAAACTGACGACCCCCCTATGAAGATAAGTGATGATGAATTTTTAACTTTGTTTATAGCAATCGATTGTTTCTACTTTTATTTTCGTTTTTACATTGTTTATTTAATAATTTATTTATTCAAAATGCTTTTGAACTTATCTGCAAAAAAAATATTTTCTTGAACTGCGGTTTATATTTATTGTTTATATATATAATTTGTTTAATATCTCCCACTGCATTGAAATAAATAGTCGGCACAACATTTATTACTTTGCCATTATTTTGGAAGATAAATGGAGACAAAAATTAATAGTTTTTCTTCAAAAAATCATTTTATTTGCATTTCTATTTATAATGTTATCTATCTGCGTGAAATATTTTAGAGTTTTAGGCCTGCAAATATCGAAAACAAGGCGGGGATAAGTTTTTGGCATATTCTTGATCATAAATCAAATAATTATTTATTTAATTTTATTTCTATCAAACCTGACACAATTACCGCAATTTCACCGTAGTTTTAAAGCAAGCAAGTAAAAAAACAGACGCTCTATAAATAAAAACAAAACGTAAAAATATTTGAAGTATTTCAAAAAAAGCAACAGAAAAAAGTTAATTTCGTCTCTTACCATTTTCTGGTGTGATGACGCCTTTTCTAATTAAAAAGTCTAGAATCACAGGGGCGCTGGTAATTTTAAATTCGGGTGATATAATTCGTTCTATGCATTCGTTGGCCGATAACAGTTCGAATTTTTGAACTTCGCCGTCAGCGTTGATTGGAACAAAATTCAATGGCAGTTCTAAATCGAAAACGAATTCCGTATTTGCATACAAACCAATAAGCGACGATTCATAGAAAAACCTAAAAAATTCCAGATTTATGACGTATTTCAGTATAACAGCAAATACATAAAACAACAACGAAATGGTATTTTTGCTAAAAAATTATTTAATTGTTTATACTTACGATACACTGCCTGCGCTTATCATATTTTTTAAAATACTGTCTGGTACCGAAGCTTCTTCACCAGCTTCCTTTTGTGCAGTTTCCCGGATACCGTAGCCTACTGAGAATCCACCTGACACCATATTATCCCATTTATCTAAAGTCGAATCAAATTTAAAAATTATTAAAAAGCGCCGAACTCATCATTCAGAAAATACGTCGAATGATAACTTCTATAATGTTTAATTTTGCTAAAAAATACTATTAAATATGAAAATAAGTTGTCTTTTAAGAAATTTGTTTTTTAATTTTTAATTTTCAAGCCTTATAGGTGCTTCAAAAACAACAGAGTTTATAATGTTAATTTCTTGAACAACTTTGTAGAAAATTTAATTATAACAGAATTTCTTCAGATCAAATATGTTAAAGTTAAACAATTTTTATAACAGTATTCCGAAAATTTATAATTCCTTATAAAAGTGACCTTTAACTTGTTCGATCTGTAAAAATTCCATATGATTAAAAGTCGAAAATAAGATCATATATGTTCAAATCAAAAACTTTATGCAAAGTTATTGATTTTTTTGGTTCCCTACATTATATACTTTCACCCTATGGTCGTCATGGGACACCCCGTATACCTGGCCATGTTTGTTTGGTACTAGATCGTTGTTGTAACCATATACACAATCCACGATTAGGATCTCGAACATATCCATTGATAGAAACCCCATATTTTTTGATGCCAAATAGGGAAGTCGCAGCTCTTTCCATTTTCATAACTTTTTCTCCAGCAAATTCCACTTTTACTTCATAACACTAAAACGAATGCAACATAATTAAGGAAAGAAAATGATCTTTTTAAATATTAATTGAAGTATTACCTCCTCTCTCCATCCATTCAAAACTTCGAAAACGTTCTCTTTTTTTATTTTTCGCAAAACGTCATCTATTTTAGCAGATCGTTCCTCGTAATCACGAAATGCAGGATTTAATTCGACAAAGTCGTTTGTCACTCTAAAAACCTTTCAAAATAATCTGAGTATTTGAAATTTTCGTCAGAAATCGGCGATTAAATGATTACCTCGGGATATTTTAGTAAATGAGTGACAACGTTTGATCTTATTAGCCCCACTTGGTACCCTTCCACAATAAAAGGTCGACATTCATCCTTGAGTGCAGGGGCTATAAAATATTTCCAATTTTGTGCTATTTTTTTAAAATAACGTTACTTTTTTATGATTTAAGTGCCATTATAAAATATTTAAATATAGGAAAATAAGAATACATTAAAAAATTTAATAATTACTTTTTATATGTATTACACTTTACATTTTACTTTTGTTTCTTTTGTTGTTTTAAGCAAAAGTGTAACAAAAATTAACTTTTATTTAAAATGCCCGCCTATTCCATACACCCTGTACATCATACTCGAAAATGTAATAGGTACAATTTATGCAAGTACATACTTACATTCAACAACTCTAAAAAGTGGGCCAAAACTTATTGTGAATAATTGAATATTTTAGAACGAAAGAAATTAATGATTTATAGTACTTAGGTATTTTATGCACAACATTATTTACACTTGTTTAAATTTAAAAATAACGTACTTACACTTTAACAACAATTATTATTACTAAACAAAGTAATTATCATATATTGAAATNATGCCTAGAAATGTATAAAAATTGGCATATTTATTAACTTTGAACCCCCATAACTTTTTATAGGGGTGAGACCGCCACGAACTTTTTATGGTACAGTGGTAGGGGAGACCTCCTCTTTCGATCCCCCCACCCCCATCCCCTTTGGGGGCGGGGGCCCTCATCTAGACCTTTACTCATAACTGTATTATATTTAGGTATCTAATTGTAAGTTGACTGTTGATTGTTTTTATGTCTTTGATATAAAGACTTTAATAATGTAAGACATCAATTAGACTTAAAGCATTCGGTAGTAAATCCCCCTGTATCAAATAAATCGCCGCTCATTCTGACTTATCTGTATGTAGTTCATGCAATTGTTAAGTGAAATATTACGTAAAGGAAACTCTGGGAAAACCGAGCATTGGGATCGCTTATCGCTTTCTATTGATTGCTCTAATAAGGAATTCAACTAAAATACAAATTCCGTTCTGTCCGAAGAAATTTTTCATTTCATTACCTTTTTATTCGTTCGAATAAATTCAAGTAAGAAACAGAAAACGTTAGATGGATACAAAATTTATACACACGTGTTTGGGTACATGCACCTAAACGAAAATCTACTTGTTCATGAAANTTACTAAACAAAGTAATTATCATATATTGAAATATTTTAAAATAATTAACACTAATTCTGTTATCCAATTCGCAAATTAACTTAATATTTTTAAAATTTGAACAGAACGAGGTCGTTTTCAAATAAGTAATAAAGTAGACATTCACTTTATCAAGTCTGCTTTTTTAAAAATATCAATAATATCAGAAATATGTTATGTGTAGAAGTGTTTAAGAGATAACTTGTTAAAAATTTAACAAGAGCAAATGTTAATACTGATAAAACTAATAGTTTATTCATGAAAAAATAAAACTATGCAAAATTGATCGGTACTTCAAAACCAATTTTATCCTATTTATTTGGTGTGAATTAATAAAATATTCTTTTAAAATAAATTTTCGAATAACTTACCAGATNGGAACAAAATACATCTAATGTAAAGGACCTAGCTACCTACCCTGAGAAATCTACACAACAGGAAGCGAAACATTGGTGTCGCCTTTGCAAATTATTCTATTAAGGTCACAACCCTGATTTCTATATACATATATCTAACTTTAGGGGAAAAGTATTAATGGAGAACATAATAACATCTTTATTTATTGTTTTACAAAACTAATTCGTTTAATGTGAACAAAAAGACATTATTTGTAACTGACGTTTTGTTTTATAGATGTGTCCTTTATCAGCAGTGTCCCAAATTTTTGTATTGCTGTTTTTCTTGTTGGTTTGCTGTACAGCATTGGCACAAACTTTAGTTTTGTACTTACAACCCAAAGATGTTACCGTTAAAATGTATGAAATCGCAAATCTTAATTACACGATTGAAGGTAAGTCAAAAGTAAATAATAATTTTTTTAAACTTTCTTCAACTTTATAATATGTGTCCTTTTTTAAATGTAGTTTGTATTATTATCGTAACTTTTCGTTTCATTTGTTGATATGATAAAGTAAAAATATTATCTTTTACAGTATTTTTCTGTCTATAGAACATATAAATTATGTATAAAAAATTTTTAGGTGAACTTGACCCTGGCGACTCCTACTGTCTAGCAATTCAAAACGATGATCCTGGCATAGTTTCGGTTAATAAAAAAATTTACATCACAACTAACAGCAGTTCAGGAAGTGTTGACGTTTTTGGAAATTTTCTTGGTATAAATAATATACATATATAAAAGCAATGCTTTCTTCCTTTACCCAGATTTTTTTAAGGATCAACCAATCTTTCTGTAGAAGTAAAGGCAAAAAATTGTACCACTTCTATCTCTCAAGAAAAAAACGTTAAAATCAAAGTGATAAGGAAAGACAGGGTTATTGATAAAGTCTTTAGTATATCGGTCGCAGTACTCGTTAGTATTATTTATATTAATTTTGGGGCTGCTTTAAAAATTGAAGATATCAAATCACAGTTGAAAAGACCTGTAGGATTGCTTGTTGGATTTGCTGGCCAGTTTATTTGTATGCCCTTGGTAAATATCTTTTAAAGTGTTTTGAAGAGTTTTGATTAATTTTTTTTGTTATAATTTCAGCTAAGTTATATAATTGGTTACGTTCTTTTTCCTGACAATCCAGCACTGCAACTTGGTATATTTTATACAGGCTGTGCCCCCAGTGGGGGCGCCTCTAATATATGGACAGCCCTACTAGACGGTAATATAGATCTGTCCATAGCTCTGACAACTATGGGCACGTTTATCGCTTTTGCAACGATACCATTCTGGACATTTACCTTGGGTGCCCTTATTTTTGATAAGAACAATTTAGAAATACCTTACAGGTACAATAAACTTTTATTCCCCTTATTAAAATTCTAAGGAAAAAATAATTTTTACAGAAATATTTCGACATATGCTATTGGTCTTGTAATTCCATTAATAATTGGCTATATTATACAAAGATATTCTACGAGGACTGCAAATTTTTTGAGAAGGACTTTGAAAGGATTTTCAGGGTTTTTGATAGTATTTATTATCGTTTTTGCTATAATTGCAAACTTATATTTATTTAAATTGTTTTCTTGGAGGGTAAGTATTTTTTCTTAATTCATATTTCATAATTTCACTAGAATTTTATAGACTTGTTCTAATAGTGAGATAGTATTTGAGGACGTTAAGTGTTAAAAATTTTAACATTTTCTTCTAAGGTAATAAGTAATAATTTTTTTCTAGATAATAGTATCAGGAATGGGATTACCCTGGTTGGGTTATTTGGCGGGTTGGCTATTGTCTAAAGTTTTTAATCTACCTGCAAAAGATTGCCTTACCACTGCAATTGAAGTTGGACTTCAAAACACTGGAATTGCAATATTTTTGTTGAGGTTTTCTTTACCTCAACCAGAAGCCGATATAACTACAAGTAAGATATGTTATAAACAACTAAAATTAAGTACGCAGTACTTATATGTCACCCTTGTACAATTTGAGATATTCTAAACATTTTTAATTTTCTTTCAGTTGCTCCTGTTTCTGTGGCCATTATGACACCAATTCCACTTTTTATTCTTTTCCTGATTAAGTTTGTTCAGAAAAGGTAGGAGAAATTTTAACTTTTTTTTTTAACTTAAAATCTTCAATACAATACAGAAAAGGATATCATTATATTAGCAACTATTTTTTGTTTTTGTAAATAAGACGCTTTCTGTGTCTGCTGTTTTAAAATTACTTTTTGTTTATTATTTTAGAATAAATCCGGTAAATGACAAACTGAAATATGCTGTGCCACCTGCTGTTGGTAGTGATACAGAATGTGATGATAATCTTAATATAAAAAAGAATGGGGTTGCTGCAGTAGCGTAAACACTTAAAAAAAGACAATTTGAAGCACATGAGTGGTATTTTTTTTACATTGTTTTTATACACATTTTTTATGAAAAAAAAAATGGACAAGGATACTTAATAACGAAATAGATTTATAATTTTGGTAATAAAAGTACTTACCCACTTAATATTTTATGTAGTACTAGTTCTTCCCCCCTATCAGCCACTGTGAGCTCGAAACTGTTAGCACTATTACTTCGAGTGGTCGAAATTCACTTTTGTGAACAATACTATGACGTAGTGTCGGCCATCATATTTTTAATTGTTGCTGTTGTCGGCCATCATTCTTTTCTAATTGTTGCTGTTGTCGGCCATCATTCTTTTCTAATTGTTGCTGTTGTCGGCCATCATTCTTTTCTAATTGTTGCTGTTGTCGGCCATTATGGTTTTTAATAGATGTATAGTAATCAATGATTAAAATTTAAAGGGGTTGTTTGTAAATGGGTATGCAACACATCGTACACTTCAGCATAATTTAATAAAATGTTGACAAAGTAAGTAAGTTTTATTTAATATCTTATTCTTATTCGGTCGCAAGTGCTTATGCATATTCTCTTGTAACGGAGAAGAGCAAAGGCAAGCAAAGGGAGGAAGTTTCTACTTCTGTTTCACCCTAATGTAAGCTCAAAATTTGCAGTCTGTCTCGGTGAACAAAGCCGTGCGAATCAGGGGGGTATTTAAATAAAACATCAAGTAAACTTGAGTAAATTATTTAGTAAATATAATAAATTACTTTATACGAATTACATTAATTAATCAAATATAATATATTTATACTGTTGTTATAATATGTATATCATACTCATAGCATCACAAAGTGAAATAAATATTAATTAGTTACATAAATAAATATCACATAATTAGAATTTTTTCTAAATTACCCGTAAACTAAAGTCAATTTATCGCCAAAAAGAGAACAAGTAAAACAAGCGGATGAAAATAATAGATATACATTAAAATGTTTCAAAAACGAGTTAATTGATAAGTATATAAAGTATGTCATCAATCATTTATCAATGCTATATTGAATGTTAAATAAAAAACGTTCTATTATTTTATTTTAAGCAGCATCTACTAAACTACTTCGTATCAAACATGAAGACATTTCGTTTCTTTTCTCTTTATGTGTATGTGTGTGTGTCTGTGTGTGTATTTGTAAAAAGCAACAAATTATCATCATCATTATTATTATTTAAATTTGATTGTAATAATTTGATGAATAATTTATTTAAGTATTATAATCTGGTATTTTGGCGCAGGTGCCGTTCTGTTTTGAGGAGGGCCTCTTGTAGAACGACTGGAGTGGTACATGTAACAATTCTATTAATCTTAAATAATTTGGTTCTGAAATGAACAATATTCAACATTAGTACATGCATGACTATTATTTGTCTTAAAAATACATTCGTATACGTTTTGTGTTTTTATTAACACACTATTACGTATTGTTTTCTTTTAAAGTACAACAATATGAAATAAAAACAAATAAAAAAGGCTAAGTGTCGATAAAACAAAAGCATATTGGTATGTAAGGGGAGAGAATGTAGGGTAAACTGACGACCCCCCTATGAAGATAAGTGATGATGAATTTTTAACTTTGTTTATAGCAATCGATTGTTTCTACTTTTATTTTCGTTTTTACATTGTTTATTTAATAATTTATTTATTCAAAATGCTTTTGAACTTATCTGCAAAAAAAATATTTTCTTGAACTGCGGTTTATATTTATTGTTTATATATATAATTTGTTTAATATCTCCCACTGCATTGAAATAAATAGTCGGCACAACATTTATTACTTTGCCATTATTTTGGAAGATAAATGGAGACAAAAATTAATAGTTTTTCTTCAAAAAATCATTTTATTTGCATTTCTATTTATAATGTTTTCATAATTTCACTAGAATTTTATAGACTTGTTCTAATAGTGAGATAGTATTTGAGGACGTTAAGTGTTAAAAATTTTAACATTTTCTTCTAAGGTAATAAGTAATAATTTTTTTCTAGATAATAGTATCAGGAATGGGATTACCCTGGTTGGGTTATTTGGCGGGTTGGCTATTGTCTAAAGTTTTTAATCTACCTGCAAAAGATTGCCTTACCACTGCAATTGAAGTTGGACTTCAAAACACTGGAATTGCAATATTTTTGTTGAGGTTT